CAGAAAAGAGGCTCGCGATATTGTAACCCAATGTCACAGCTGTTGCCAGTTTCTTCCTATCAGACACGCTGGCGTGAACCCCAGAGGGATTACGCCCTTGCAAATATGGCAGATGGATGTGACTCATATCACTGCCTTTGGAAAACTTCAGTATGTGCATGTGTCAATTGACACATGCTCTGGCATTATTCATGCCACACCACTTACAGGAGAAAAAACCTCTTATGTCATTCAACATTGCCTTGAGGCATGGAGTGCTTGGGGCAAGCCCACATCTTTAAAAACGGATAAGGGGCCTGCCTATACTTTTCAAAAGTTTAAACAGTTCTGTGCACAGATGCAGGTCACCCACATTACAGGCCTGCCTTATAACCCCCAGGGACAAGGTATTGTAGAGCGGGCGCATCGTACACTCAAATCTTATCTACTTAAACAGAAAGGGGGAATATTGACAGAGCTGCCCACGACGCCACGGGTGGCCATCACCATGGCTCTGTTCACCATAAATTTTTTAAATTTGGATGATAATGGCCAAAATGCTGCAACACGACATTGTTCGGATCTGCAGCCACCCAAAGATTTGGTTAAGTGGAAAGACGTGCTTTCTAATGAATGGAAAGGCCCGGATCCCATTTTATTGAGATCCAGGGGAGCTGTTTGTGTCTTCCCACAGGATCAAGAAAGCCCATTCTGGCTGCCAGAGCGATTGACCCGAACAGTGAAGAGTGATCCACAACACACGGATTCGCCTGAGGACCTGGCTGCTGCTCCTCCTGCCATTTTGCGGATGGATGACAGAGCACCGATGGAGGACACTCTCAGATTTCCCGAAGCTGTTACCAGTCAGCCATAGGATGGCGGTGTTTCCTCGATGTTTTTTTACAACCAATAAGACTCTGGGCCCCCTCCCTACCATCCTAGAGATGATTTATAAGCTTCCATATAGGAAGGAATACATAGGATTCCAGTCCTGGGTCGTGTCCTTCATCCCCTACTTCAAAGAATGGGTGGGGGTGGAAATGTTTTTGGAACAGTCCTATGCTATGGAATAGTGTTTCTCCTCTGGATGGTCTGCTGACTCAAATCCCAAAATCGTAGGGATAAAGTGGTTATTGCACAAGCGTTGGCTGCCCTGAAACAGGGGGCCTCTACTGATGTGTGGTTATCTATGCTGAAGCAGTAAGGTTTATGCCAACCAGCTCCTGCACCCCTAGGACTGTGGTCCATTGCACAAGGTGGAGTGCTTGGCTTAGCTAGCCCTGAAGGTTGTCGAGCTGAAGAGCATCGCACAGAGAATGGCCCTCTCTGAGAGATATGTCGCCCTGCATAAGAGTTTCCTGTCGTATATTCCCTTTCCCAGAAAAATGGCAGAGGGCAGGCCGGATAGGTTCCAGGTGTCATGAACCTAGGGGCAGATTCCGTGCAAGCCCATTGTAATGTTTTTCGCTCTGGGAAGTGCGACCTCTATCTTTGCCTTCTGAGGGAGTTGCCTTTCTGCAAAGAAGTAAAAAAAAGGGGGATATGTGGAGGGCCGCGACCACATTCTCCATTGCTTCAAGGAACAAAGGTAGAGATTGACCTCTGTGACCCCAAGGTGTGGCGGTACACGCCTTTAGTCCTGATGCCTGGGAGACAGGCAGATTGACCTCTGTGACCTCAAGGTGTGGTAGTACACGCCTTTGGTCCCAGTGCCTGGGAAGCAGAGACAGGCAGATCTCTGTGAGTTCAAGGTGATGTAGTACACGCCTTTAATCCCAGCGCATGTGCTTGTTAACTCTCTACCTCTGCGTCCCTGCCTACTCCCGAGGCATCATCTGGGATAATGGGCAGTGGATCAATCCAAGAGTGACATGTCAGAAGCGAGGACTGTTTCCTTTATAAGGGCTGGGTTCCCCTCATTCTGGGTCTCCGCCATGTTGGCTGATGCTCGCTCTCCCAAGGGGCATTAAAGCTTTTCTGCAGAAGTATCCTAAGTGCCCTGCGTCGTTCTTGCTGGCGAGGCCGAGCGCGGGGCAGAAGGCCAGCCTGGATTACAGAGCAAGACACTGTCTCAAGGAAAGAGAAAGACCATAAAAACCACCTGGGGGTGCATTTGTTCAGCACTTGTAGCATTCGTGAAGCTGCATCTGTCCCTAGCACCCCATAAACTGAGTGTGCCCCCTACCTGTCAGCCTAGCACTCAGAGGAGGGGGCTGGAGGGTCAATTCAAGGTCATCGTCCACTATGTAGCGATTTGGAAGCCAGCCTGACAGGCATGAGTCACCTTGGCTGAATTTCTGTCCCTGCAAAGCCCATTGCCCAGGACCGGTGCCCAGTGGGCTTGGCATCAGGGTTAATCTGGAACAGGTTTCTTCCTCCCTCCTTTCCTTCCTCTCTCTCTCTCTCTCTCTCTCTCTCTCTCTCTCTCTCTCTCTCTC